CGAGCCCCCCCAGTCCCACCCAGCAGCCCCCCCAGAGCCCTGCACCGACACAAACTCTGTATGTGCATCAGCCAGGGAGAGCTGCAGATCTCCGCATGCACATCCCCAGGTGCCAATACCCCCGGACATAAAGCAGGTATCTGCGGGTAGGAGCAGGTATCCAAGGGTAGGCAGGGCTGCCCCCCCCATTCCAACCTTAGATCCCCCTGCAAGTCCCACCCAGCAGCCCCCCCAGAGCCCTGCACCGACACAAACTCTGTATGTGCATCAGCCAGGGAGAGCTGCAGATCTCCGCATGCACATCCCCAGGTGCCAATACCCCCGGACATAAAGCAGGTATCTGCGGGTAGGAGCAGGTATCCAAGGGTAGGCAGGGCTGCCCCCCCCATTCCAACCTTAGATCCCCCTGCAACTGTACCCCAGCAGCCCCCCCAGAGCCCTGCACCGACACAAACTCTGTATGTGCATCAGCCAGGGAGAGCTGCAGATCTCCGCATGCACATCCCCAGGTGCCAATACCCCCGGACATAAAGCAGGTATCTGCGGGTAGGAGCAGGTATCCAAGGGTAGGCAGGGCTGCCCCCCCCATTCCAACCTTAGATCCCCCTGCAACTGTACCCCAGGGCGCAGCTCCCATGTCTCCTCCTGCAGAGACCGCGCAGCCCAGAGCAAGCCCAGCTGGGTGCCAGGCCACCTCCGGGGCCCGCGTCTTCACTCCCATCCCCGGCGTGGAGGGGGCTGGTTGCAGCACGGCAGGCAATCGGCCCAGCTCCAGCGGCTCACCAGAAGCTGGACCTTTCTGGAAATGGCTGGCTTGGCTCAGAGCCTGCTGGACGCTTGGCCAGAGTCTGTGGGCGCCCAGATCCGCCATGGCGGGGTCCCCTGCTATCGTGGGGGGGGGAGCATGTGCTAGGACCCTGGGGAGAGGAGGGGGCTGGCAGCCACGGCCCTGGCAGGTCAGTTCTTGGCACTGCAGGTGCCACCAGGAATCTGCAAGGAGTGGCCAGGGCTCAGCGCTGTCCTGTCAGCCTGGGAGACGCCGCACCCCTCAGGCCAAAGGGCTACCCAGAGATGGGGGGAGTGGATTTATTCTTCCATAGGGTCACCTCATGGCTGTCCCAAGGGGGCGTGGCCTTCCAGCTCAGGGGCGTGGCCTTCCAGCTCAGGGGCGTGGCCTTCCAGCTCAGGGGCGTGGCCTTCCAGCTCAGGGGCGTGGCCTTCCAGCTCAGGGGCGTGGCCTTCCAGCTCAGGGGCGTGGCCTTCCAGCTCAGGGGCGTCAGCACCTGGCCCAAGGGGGCCCCAGTCTGGCCTGAGGTGCCAAGGTGCTGCTGCCACACACAACAAAGAGCAATAGCCAGCCCCGACCCGGGGAGACCTCTGCTCCGCCAGGGGCCCCGAGGGGGAAGCGAGGCAGCTGTCCCCAGCAGAGCAGCCACCGTGCGCGTTACCCACCGACCCCCCCGGGCTCCTCCCCAGAGTCAGCTCCGAGGTCCCGGGGGCTGGAAAATCACAGCCACCCTCTTGGCAAGAAGAGGAGAGGGGAATTACCCTTGGGGTCCGGGAGAGAGGCGGTGAGGCAGGGGCTAATCCCATGGGGTTATACAGGGGGGCGAGCACACAAGCCAGGATTCAGCGTACCCCGGAGCAGGCCGCCCTGCATGCTGGGTGCTGTAGCCTGTCCAGGCCGCACGTCCAGCAGAGCCAGGGGCTGGCTCCGGGGCAGGGGGACGCCACCCCAGACAGCTATCCAGGGAGAGGGCTCGAGATGGGTCTAATCAACCCCCCTCGCCGACCCGGGAGGAAACGCGCCGAAGAAATGAACGCACAAAGCGGGCTATGGGGCAGAATCCCTCTCGCCCTGGGCCTGCCCTGCCCTAGGCAGCGAGATTCGGTGGCACCTATTGGCCTGGCCTTTGCCCCCTCCCCTTTGAGCCCCAGCCCTAGGCTGGAAAGAATTTTTCTCCTCCTAGGAGGCAAAGGTGCAGCACGTTCCCCCTGCGCTTTGCCTCTTGCTTTGCAAGGGAGTGCCGGGAGAGCGGCAGGGACTAGCTCCCACCCCGCCCTGAGCTCGGGCCCTGGCCTGGGGATCGCAGCGCATCGAGGAAT